CTTTGGGTGTAATTGATAATTTGTATATTGTCCAGGGTCATCTCTCATTGTAACTTGCAAATTCTTATTATAACACTCCACACTTTGCTTATGTTTCTCATTGTTTCTTGTCTTTTTGTTTGGTTCAAACTTTTTAGCAGCAACTTTTGAATATTGCACTACACCTTGGACATAAAGCCACCTCTACCTCCTTCTTTCTTTCGATTCAAACAATCCACCAAAGTATCATTTATCTTAGGATAAATCTCATTTTCTATTTCAAAAGCTTCCAATTCCAATTTGAAGTCTTCTTCACCATCATTTAATTTGACATGACACAGATTCACATCTTTTGAAGTAATGACCACCTTGTAAATTTCCATATCATCCACATGACTCCTAACATCATCAGTAGTTTTAAGTTTGAATTCTACATAACCCACATGAACTTTCAAAAGATTTATATCCACCATCACCAGTTTCTCTTCAAATTTCAATCTACCTTGTTCGATAACATCTTGTATCGTGTTCCTAAAACAAATACAGTTATTAGTCCAATGTCCATATATATTATGAAACTTGCAATATTATCGTCCTCTTCTTTGTTCTAAAGATTGGAATTTATGGTCATCACTTAGCTTGATTTGTTTTCCTTTCAAGAAAATATAAAAAATATTATTTACCTTAGTCACATCAAAACTATAAGTTCGATTCATTATTTTGTCAAAAACCACACTTTTTTGTAATAACTTACAAACACAAGGTGAACCAATTTTAATTTTAGCAACATTTATTTCATCATAGATTTCACTCATTTCTTCATCTTCATTCTCTTCTAAAATATCTAGTAACTCTTTATATTTATCTATTCCAATATATCTAATTTTATCTTTCTTCACTATCTTACCAAATTTATGATATCTTTCTTTCTCGTATTTACTCTGTTCGATTCTTTGAACCTTATCTCGCTAACCGAGCCATATCCCTCAAAGGCACATTTACTAATTTCTTCAAAAACTCTAACCTTGCTATTACCATTCTCATTACCTCACTCTCAAGGATTTGTGTGAAACACCTTCATCTCATTTGTCTAAATCTATTCAAATAATCATCTATATTTTCACTATAGTATCTTTTCACATTCATAAAATCGATCAAACTAACCTAAGTCTCTCCTATAAGAATTGTTCGTGAAAACTTCTTTCTAATTGTTCCCAATTAAATACTAAATTAGGAGGCAATGTTGTGAACCAAGTCAAATCATTATTCATTAAAGAACTTGAAAAATATTTCGTTATCAAACTCTCACTTGTTAGCAAATTCCCACACTCGATTTGATATCTAACTATATGTTCAACAATAGACTCCCCAATATCACCTGCAAATTTTGTAAACTTTGGAATCTTTTGTCCTCTAGGCAATTCAGCCTTAACCACAAAATCGAGAAAAGGTGAAATAAAATATGGTTGATTGTATAATCTCATTCCCACATCTGGTTGATTCCATTGCCCGATTACTTGGCTATGAAAATTTTGTTGATAATTCCCATTATTCTTATTATTCCTTCTTATATTATCCCAAACATGTAAGATTTGGTCTACATTTTGATCCTTATTGACCATTCTGACATTTCCCTACAGATTGTAGTTTCCTTGCATATTTCAATTATTATTATTTTGCTCTCTAGGGGATTCATCTTGATTATTTCTTATTTGCATATCACTTGCTAGGCTATTCCTTCTCGAGATAACAAGTGCATCTCCTATCCTTGCCATTTGTAATGCTAACCTTTGAAAACTATTAGCGGTCATTTGTACCAAAGGATTTAAAATGGTGGTCATTTGGTGAGACAACATATTGACCATTTCATGATTACTATCATCCATTTGTTGTCTTATGACCCTTAACATACTACTTGATATCCTTGTGTTTATGTTATCGAAATCACCTTGATTTATATTGTTCCCTTGTCATTTCCCAATCTCAGTTGATTTGGACTTTGATCATTCATCCTGCTAGAATTTGGGGTTGGCTGCCATGATGACATTCCGTAGGGATACCTTTTTACTATTGGAATTTCCTGATTATTTCTTTGGACCGACATGTTCCCACTAGTCATATGTGGCCCTACACAAGTGCTACCTATCATATTGTTTACTGGCTGAATTGTTTCTTGATTACTTTGACTACCAGTGTTTGGATCAATAGGAACACCCTGAATAGGTTCACTCACATTTCCCACATTTAGACCCTCATTATTATTTTTCACCACTACATACTTAATACTGCATAATTCGGTGCTGAGGTTTGTATGTTTTGACTTGTCATATTTATTCTACCACTTATTAATATCGTACACTATTTTTGTTTTGTCCTACTGGTGTGTCAATTTGTTTCTAGTGTAATTGATTTACTGTTCGATTTAATCAAATATAACTCTGTAATTTACACGATGAATTACTTAAACACCATGCGGGTTCTTTATCTTAATATTACTCAAAATTTAACACACAATATATTTTAATCAGAGATCGATCATATTCAATTTTTATTTTTAGTACGATTTGAAACATTTAAAGTAAATAACAAGAATAGTAAAGCACAATAAAAGTAAATTGTTGAAAAGTAAATATATAAATAACAAAAAAATAAATCTAACTCATTACAAAGGATAAAATAGAAATTGATAAAGAAAATCGACAAAAGTGGCAATCCAAATTGTAAAGAACTCCATTAAAAATACTTGTTCCCAATTCGTAGCGCTTTTCAGAATGTAAGTCTTCGTACAATTTGAAATCACCCGATTACATTTATTTTATCCTATATATTTTTTCCATGTAATCGCCAAGGTGACGTAAATAAAAAAAGATAACAAATAAAATCTTAGAACAATTATTTCCTTATAACCGCTTCCATTATCCTTCAATCCACTTTGTTGATAAATGTCATTTGTAACTGCATACTCCAAGGAACTTGACCATAACTATCTCCATAAATCTCTCGATACATCACAGGAAGATTTAATAGCATGATCTTTTCTCAATATCTTGTTTCTTCGATACATTGTGTCCTTTAGCTTTGATGTTCTTTACTCCTTAAATCTTCGATTCTCAATTGATGGATTCAGACTTCCTCAATATTTCCTAATCCTCTTCTTTGATAACACTTCTTGATCGATTTCCTATCTTCATAATATGTATTTTATCGATTACCGTATTGCCTCTTTACAATTATCATTGTCTATTTCTCAATTTATTTCTTTTGATCTATTTATAATTTGAGGCTTAACACAAGACAAATAATTTAAGACAACATATTCCTTAGTACATTTCCAAAGTATCATGATGTGGGAGTTATGTTGGATAATAAGACTAGCTTGTTGAAGCAATAAAAATTTGACTTTAAAGTTTACTGAATGCACTTGCTAGATGTATTATTAAGCATTATCTTCCGTTTAGCTACGTTGAGTATGAGGGAGTTTGCGAGGTAAATATAGTTTTGAATGTTAATTTTAAACCAATTACTACACTACAAGAAATTTCTTATTTACCAACGAATATTTACCGACGGATATGTAGCCGTCGGAAAATGAGTAATTACCGACGGATTTAAGGTAGTTGTGAAATTTGGTTTTACTGATGGATATATCCGTCGGTAAATTAACAATTAATGACCGACAAATATATATCTGTTAGAAAATGAGTGATTACCGATAGATATTACCAACGGATATCCATCGGTAAATGAACAATTAATTAAAATTAACAATTTCTCTCCTTAGAATATTATTATCTTGTAACATAAACTCTCCGATCTCACCACATTCCCACATTATTCCTCTGATACCTTTTTGGCAACCTCCAAATTCACGTGCCGCACCACCTTATCACGCTCATAACCACTCACCATCAGCCCTAGCCCTTCTGCGACACCGATCACCTCCACCTCCACTACCAGTGACTCGCGACCTCACCTCCCAGCTCTCATCATCTCCTTCAATCCTTCTCCTTCACCAACCTCACTGACTCTCACCCAACACCCTCACCAAAAATCACTCTAGCACCCCATCTCCCTCACTCGAACCCTAGCGTGGGTCGCATCCACCACTAACTGTGAATCGCCTCTCTACCCATCCACTCACCACAGTTCGAAGCAATAGTCAGTCCCCTGGTCGAAGGTGAGGGCATGAGCTAGCTCCTTTGTGGAGGTTCAACCCGAGGCAGGGAACCGTGTTCTGGGTTTGGTTTTGCTTTATGTTTCTACCTTATTCTGATTTGACATTTCATTTCTGGTCTAGGGTTTTGCTTCTGATGATTTATGATCGAGGGGTTTTGCTTGTGATGGTGTAGTCTTGTTGATTGGGACCATGTTGGATATATTTATTTGTAATTGGAGTCTGTTGGATTTAGTTTAGGGTTTCATTTTTGCATGATTGGCCTTATTTCATTTGTCTGATTGTGGACTGAGTTGCTTGGTAATTTCAGTATAGTTATGCTTTGGTTTTAATGTGTCTCATGATTTAAGATTGGATAATTTAATAGTTTGAAACCTTATTAGATTATAAATCAAGCTTCAATACTCAAATATAGCTTCCTTTCACAGAGGCTGCAAGGGAAATATGAACAAAGTTTCTTATAGTCCCTTTAAAATGCCTAATTAAACCTATGTTAATAAATATGAATCAAAATTTATTACACTATAAGTGGGACTTTATTGCATGGTTGAAGAAAATAAAAAATTGGGGTCGTTGGGTTAGCTTTTGCAGTGAAAGTGGGGTTCAAAGAGTGTTGAGGGCATGAAAAGTAGAGAAAGGAGGACCTTTTTTCCCTGACAGATTGACTTTTTTTCCATGATTATAACTGGGGTTGTTGGGTTAGCTTTCTTTCCCTGACAGATTGACTTTTTTTCCATGATTAGAACTAATCTATTGATCAAAACTATCTTGATAAAAAAAATAAACAAAACAATATGAAGCACATTGTTTAACAAACAAAATAATTAGTCTTAATTTTTTAAATTAGGAGAAGTTAGTCTGGATTGGAGTTTACTTTGGAGCTGGTTTGGAGGCTGGGGCTTTGGAGGTGCCTGAACTAGGTTTGGCAGAAATCTCTTTCTTCACCAACCCTGCAGAGGAAGAACATTTCTCAACAGTTTTGTCAGCTTTGAGGGATGCCATTTTACAATACTCTTCTAAGCAAACACTTGACCTAGCCTCAAGTTTTAACATTACAGAATACATCAATTTATAGCTAAGCTTAAGCATAATAATAGGCCAATTACACCAAATTGGTAGTAAATTGAGGGAATGGAATAAACTCAACTGTGGGCTAATGGAGGGATAATGTTGCAGCATCTTATACTTTACCTTAGGCAGAAGATTGGATTCATATTCTACAATTTGGTTTCACATATTGAGGCCTACATGATTCATATGCTGTTTACCAGAAGCCTTGTAGAAGACTTGTATTTTCTTTGTTTGCTAACAGCTATAGACCTTTTCAATTTATAGGATATAGATAATGGGTACTTATCCTTGTTTGTTAAAGGCAATAACAACAAAATTCGTGCAAAAAGAATTAACAACAAATAAATTAATTGTTTTTTAGTTTTTATTGTCATGAGATTGGTTTGCTATAAAGTATATATAAAGGACCGGACGTAACACTATACCCACTTTTTATTTTTCACATAAATACTAAAACGTTTCTTAACTATTAAAAAATTTAGTACCATAAATGTTTCTAAAAGTAATATTTATTTTGTTTCATGATGGATTAATACTTGTTTGGTTAAAAAAAGAGAAGAATACCACTAACTAGTAACTACTAAGGTTGACTTGTTTTGTGGGTTAACCGACGTTGTATCAGGCGACGTTGAAAGTCGTAACTTTGAACGTTGGTTCTAATAAACCGACGTTGAAAGTATGATTTTTTAAATTAATAATTTTTATTTATTTACAACCCCTTTACTCCCTTTTATTTATCTAGAAGTCTCCCTTCTCTTTATATTAGGTCCTCCATCTCTTTATATTATATTTTTTAGAAGTTTATTAATTTTTTAAGAGAATTGTCATTGGCAGGATTCGAACCCAGTACTTTAGAGTTGGAGGTCGATACTCCAACCACTAAACTACTAGAATTTTCTAATAATAACTTACAAATAAATTATATTTATATACAAATAAATTATATTTATATACAAATAAATATATATCCGTGTAAATATATAAATATATAAATACAAATATATTTATATATTTTGATATATTTATATAGTTATATATTTATATGTTGGATGTGAGGGCACACTCGAAAATGAAAGTGTGTGTCGAGTGGGTTGTCAAAATTTGATGCTAAATTTGTCAGCAGTGTATCTTTATATGAGTTTGTAATTTAATGACAAAATATAATCTTTATAATTTTATTTATATAATGATATAAAATAAATTTGGGAAATGCGTTATTTTCTCTCAAGCGAAAAATACCAATTTTCGCTCAAGCGAGACTTGAGTAAGTGAATTTCCGTGAGCTTTAACATATTTTCACTCAAGCAAGAGTCAATCACACTTTCACCCTCGATCGAAAAATACCAATATAATTTATTTGTAAGTTATTATCAAAAAATTATAGTAGTTTAGTGGTTGGGATATTAACTTTCAACCCTAAAATACTAGGTTCAAATGTTATCAGTGACAATTCATTAACTTAAAAGAATTTTTGGCTGAAAATAAAAATAAAAATATTTTCCGGAAAATATATACAAATAAATATATATTTACATGGATATATATTTATTTGTATATAAATATAATTTATTTGTAAGTTATTATCGGAAAATTCTAGTAGCTTAGTGGTTGGAGTATCAGTCTCCAACTCTAAAGTACTAGGTTCGAATCCCGCCAATGACAATTTTCAAATTTAAGTGAGTTTTTGGGTGAAAAAAAATAAAAAAAAAAGACTTTCCACGTCGGTTCATATGGGAACCGACGTGGAAAGTGTCAAAAAGTAAAAAAAAAAAAAGACTTTCAATGTCGGTTTATATGGGAACCGACGTAGAAAGTACTTTTACGTCGGTTGACTAAGAACCGACGTAGAATGTGTTTAATATTCAACTTTCAACGTCGGTTCATCTGGGAACCGACGTGAAAAGTACTTTCTACGTCGTCTCAGCTATAACCGGCGTTAAATGATGACGTAGAAAATATATTTTGTTGTAGTGGCTATTGCTATTGACCATGTATAGGTGCCTTCTTTCTGCACCTATTTTTCAAATCCAATATATTCATTAATAATGAATGCATTTTTCAGCTTCAGCTTCAAGCAGGTTTTAACTATTTATAAATTAATCAATTAATTAATATAAGTGAAGGTACACATCCAAAGGGGAGGGTCCTAGTACAGAAGTGACGCTGCCAATTGTAACACTTACATGGCAAGTTTTTCAAAAGTAAAAAAGTGACAGTGATGAAAATGAGACAATGTCAAAAAGAGAAATGAAAGAAAATGTTCCCAACTTTTTTTTTTCTACTTGCTTGCTTTTCTTTTCTTCATCCACTTTTCCTTTTTGTTTTCGGATGAAGTGTATGTAATTTGCTTTTGCATTGTTGTTAGGATTAGTTTTATATATTCATGTGTTTGTACCACTTTATATATTTCTTATGAATTGTTGTTGTGTAAAAAATTTACCTAAAAAAGTCGTTTAAATTTAATTTATTTCTTATGATAGAGGCATTAATCATGAGTTGTGGGACTTGCGTGTAGAAATTAAATTTTGGAATGTAATAATTAAGTTACGAAAAATGATATGATTTACTAACATGTTAATAACTTGTTCATCAGTACTTCAAATTCCTATATTCATATGTGCAAGTACCAAAAGCTTAATTAGGTAGAAAGCTTTTAGCTAGTGTTTGTCTAATGTATTAGGACAAGCGTCCTTAAGATTAGCCCTTGTTTTCCCTAAACAAGAAGATACATGCTTTTAAATTAGGACAAAACTTTACCTTCCTTATTATATAAGACACGTGAACGGTTACTTCTTAATGCTTATTTTTTAAGGTTGTTTAATTGTGAATATATAACCAACTTGATTTGAATTAATGAATGTGTAGGAGGAATATATATATATATATATATATATATATATATATATATATATATATATATATATATATATAAAAGTTGGGTCAAATAAGTTGGATGTATGATAGATGTTATAGTGGTAGAAGAGGCTTGAAAGAGTCTTTTGTTATAGGGGTTGAAGAGTTTGTTAGATTTACTCGACAATATGAGTATTATGAACGTGATGGAGGAATTCAATATTCATGCACCAAATGCAATTGTACAAGAATTTTGAAGGATGAAATCGTCAAAGTTCACCTTTACAAGCAAGGGTTCAAACCAAATTATTGGATTTGGATGGATCACAGAGAAAGTGTGCCTGAAGTTGAAGAAAATGTTGATGATAATTGTGTTGGCGGTTCAAGTATTGATGTACACATGACTGAACAAGACCAATTTATGTCAATGCTAAGAGATGATGTACAATTCTCTCTGGCAACATCAATCATTTCAAGGACCCAATTGTCTTAACATTGAAGAGCCACCAAATGAAGCAATTTAAATGTTATATAATTTGTTGGCAGAGACAAATAAACCATTATTTGAAGGGGCAACAGATTCAAAATTGTCAATATGTGTTAGACTTTTAGCATGCGAGTCAAATTGGAATATTCTTGATCAATTCTTAGACTCTATGACACACATGTTGTTGGATGTCACACCTATAAAAGACAATTTGCCAAAAACTTATTACGATGCCAAGAGATTAATATCAAAGTTGGGATTAGAGGTGAAGAAGACCAATTGTTGTGTGAGTGGGTGTATGCTTTTTAATGACAATGATAATGGCAAAAAAGATGTTACATTACTTCAATGTAAATTTTGTCAAAAGCCAAGATATCATGAGAAAAATAGTGGAACAACCCATAAAAAGCCAGTTCTAGTAAAGTTCATGTTTTACTTGCCTATAATTCCTAGATTATAAAGAATATTTTCATCAATGCAAACTGCTGGTCAAATGACTTAGCACCATGAAAATAAAATTTCTGATGTATTATGCCATCCATCAAATGGTGAAGCTTAGAAACACTTGGATAAGAAACATCCAACTTTTACTCCTGATCCACGCAATGTCAAACTTGGGTTATGTTCTGATGGATTTAATCCATATATTCAGGCTTCATCTTCACCTTATTCTTGTTGGCCTATCATTATTACTCCACACAATATTCCTCCTGAAATGTGCATGACCAAGCCATATATGTTTCTAACTTGCCTAATTTCGGGTCCATCCAATCCGAAGGCCTCAATAGATGTTTACTTAGAGCCTTTAATTGATGATTTGAAAAAATTGTGGAATGGTGTTCTCACATACGATATTTCAAAGAAACAAAATTTTATGATGAGGGCAGCTTTAATGTGGACAATTAATGATTTTCCTACTTATGGGATGTTATCTGGTTGGGGGACTCACGGTAGATTGGCTTGCCCACATTGCATGCAGCATAAAAAATCCTTTACATTAAATTATGGTCGTAAAATTTTTTGGTTTGATTCGCATCGAAGGTTCTTACCAAATGATCATCCATTTAGAAGAAACATTAAAGCCTTTCGAAAGGGATAAGTTGAAGTAGAAGGGTCACCTCCTCGGATAACACCTACACAAGTTTGAAAAAAGAGTAAAAGATTTACCAAAAGTAACTGAGTGTGGTATCACAAGGATTGAAGGATACGGAGAGTGGCATAATTGGACAAAATGAAGCATATTTTGGGATCTACCGTATTAGAAAGATTATTTGTTGAGACACAATCTTGATGTAATGCATATAGAGAAGAAGTTTTTTGATAACATATTCAACATTTTGATGAATGTAAATGGAAAGACAAAAGATAATGAGAAGGCAACGAAGGATATTGATTTGTGTTCTACAACGTTGAAGAGGGAAATGCTTATTAGGATAGAAGAAAATATTCCAATCACTCTTTGCAAGTTGGAGAGAATATTTCCTCCTGCATTCTTTGATTCAATGGAACATCTCCCTATTCATCTTCCATATGAAGCTTGGCTCAATGGACCAGTGCAATATAGGTGGATGTAACCGTTTGAAAGGTGTTGAAATGATTGTCCTATATGTGTTTCATATGTTATTTTGATTAGTTTGATCAATCATAATCTTGCTTCTTAAATTGTATAGATTCATGGGGGAGTCTAAACGATCGGTCAAAAATAAGGTTAAAGTTGAAGGATCAATTTGTGCAACTTACTTGCATCATCAGACGACATACTTTTATTCTCATTATTCCAATAACTTCATGTTGTCGTCACGACAACCTAGAAATGAAATGTATTTCCAAATTCAAACACAATTGTTAGTGTTATCATTATTCCGACAAGTTGGTTGTCCATCTGGGCGGGAGTTGACTCACTGGTTAACTGATGCTGAATCCAAGTAAGCTCATATTCATCTATTAATCAATTTTCAAGAAGTTAAACCGTACCTTGAGTACATTCAAAGCACATATCTTTTCAATTTCATTATTAAATTCTTTGTCACATTCTTAAAGTAACCTTTTAGCATTTTCTATTTGGACATCTCATTCTTGCAATTAGAGCAAATAAGTGAATCATATGCTAGGATTCATGCAGAATTTCCTACATGGTTTAGGCAACAAGTATGTACGTGACCATTCTTTTTTAAATATGGTATATACGTATTAATGTAACATTTGGTGCATTTTATATTTATAGATCCATAATGAGCCATTTAGTGTGAAGAATCAAGACTTAAGGGATTTATCCAATCATCCTATGCGATGCGTTAAAGAATGGCACACATATTTTGTGAATGGATACAAATTTCATACAAATGCATGGAGCAAGGAAAAAAAGACAATAAACAACAATGTTTATGTTAAGGGTTTGACAGAAAGTGGTGAAGATGATTTTTATGGAGTAATTATGAAAATATATGAGTTGGAGTACAATACTTCAAGTTCTCCCAAAAAAGTTGTGGTTTTTTATTGTGAATGGTTTGATCCATCAAGAAGAGGTACAAAAGTGGATCCTAAATATAATATTGTAGATATTCGAATGGGTTTAATATATGAACCATTTGATCCATTTATCCTTGCACATAATGTAAGACAAGTGTACTATGTCCCATATCCATCATTTGGAATAGACAAGCGTGGTTGGTGTGTTGCAATAAAAAAAAAACCAAGAGGTTGTATTAATTCTAATGGTGTTGAAGAGGATGCCCCTTACCAAGTAGATGAAATGTTACATGGAAATGAAGTCATTGAAGTGGAAGACATATTTGGATTACATAACTATGAAGCTATTCCTGAAGATTTGTAAGAGGAAGAGGAAGAGGAAGAAGAAGAGGATGAGGATGAAGCCTAATGTTTGAAGAAAATTAGAAACATAAATGTTTTGATTTTGCAATAAAAACATAATGTACCCTCATTTGTTATGAATTATGTTATTAACTGAGTGTCCCTTAATTTATATGATTTTTTACATCATAAGTTATTCATAATCTTATTTTTTTATGTATAGATATGTCCACAAAAGGTTCTGACCCACCTCGACCCCCACCCTCTAGTAGTGATAAAGGGAAGGGGAAGGCGATATCAAAGAAAAAGAGACCACGTTACGTTCTGAAAGTGGTTTCCACATATTTACCTTCCACATGCACTACACCTAGACCATCCACTACACCTACACCATGCATCACATCTATATCATCCACACCCGTTGCACCCATACCATCGCCATCCTTTGTTGTAGGACCTACACCATCTCCTTCACCCCTTATACCTACCTATTGTACCCGCACCATTCATAACACCATCCACTTCTATTTTACCACCCATACCATCCTCTCTTGCAGTTGTGGCACCCACCCCTTCTCTAGTTGTGACACCCGAATCCTCTCCAGTTGTGACACCCACCCCTTCTCCATCTCCATCCCCTGTTGTGGCCTCAGGACCTTCCTCCTCTCAAGGTCACTCACCTATTGTAGATGTTGATTCAAAGGTTGGAGAGTTCCTGCTATACATGATCGACCGATGATTGAACCTTATGGTCGAGGGCCATATTTAATTTCAAATCTCAAATTTATTTATTATAAATAAGTTTTAGTCATTTTCAGCACATATGTAACTTGTATTACTTTTTCTTTGTAATTAGGTTTCTTCCGTCCAGAGTTGCATCACAAGCTATCTTAAGTGGTAAAAAGTTGATATAATTATGCCTTGAAT